AATTGCAAACTAACGAAAAAAATATGTTCAATTCTTGTATTATAACTTCTGTGGGCATATGTATCTTTCTAAAAAAGCTATACGCTAAATTCATGTCCCAGACGTCCATAAAATACACACCTATTCCTTTAAATACATTTTCCATAGTTTTTCCAATCATAAAAAGTGTATAATCACTACTGTAAATAGAACGGAGAGAACTTCGGTAGTGTCTAGCGTGCGATCCTTTTATTATGATGGGCGTGTTGGGACATTTGCCTCTGAATCTCAGAATTGCATTCCGTAGTTGTTCAAGTCGTCTCCGATAGTCGGATTGCTTCCATTGTGTGTAGTGTGCCCAAGGGCTGATGACAATTATATAGTCGCACCCATTCTCTGGAAGACTTTGTAGAAGATCAGACTCGAACTTTACATCGTCAATGCTGATTTTTCTATTTGTTACAATGAAAGGATAGAATTGGAACAATGCATTTAATGTATTATTATGATTAGCTACAATCTTAGTATATTTATAATTCTTATCAGCTTTATAACCGAGATACTTGGTGAGCACCTCGAGCCATTGACGTGTAGTAGAATCTCCCATTAGGTAGAATTTCTTTTTGCGAATGCAGTGTTTTATCTCTTCTATACGCCACTCTTTGGTTTTGCATCTTAGATTAATCCATTTGTTACCAACCCAGTACCCTTCTGTAAGTGGTTCCAGTTGGTCCGGCAGGCACACGGACAATTGAAAGAAATCGGGAGATAACACTTTGTCTACTGTCGAAATCGGCAGTTCTGTAAATCATAGATAATAAAAAATAAAAAATGATATCACAATAATAGAATACGAAAATATAACATACAACTGATGATTTCTTTACCTGAATTTTACTGTCTAAATAAATATTGTGGCTCAGTTTGTTAGACTTGCTACAACTCCTTTATTATTATTGTTTTCTCATTCTGAACAGTGTCACCAACGAGAAGGTGATTTAGAGACGGAATAATAAAAAAAATTAAAAAATGGAGTATGCCCAGGATAATATTGTAGTTTGTTTGTAAAGTATCTACATTGTGCATTGATGTAGGACAATGCACAATGCCCGGGAAAATTTTGATTTCTAGATGGCCAGAAAGGAGTGGTTTAATGAACTTTAAGTTCTTCAAAATTAAAGGTTCCCCCCTCCCTCTTAAAAAAAGGTCAGGTAATTTTATCTCATTCTTTAGGCCTATCATGGGGGGGGGGGGGAATTAAAGACAGGCAATATATTATTATATTTCCAACAACATTGAGTATATGTAGTCTTTCTTACATGGATCAATGAACCGATAGGCCTAGAACGCACTTTCGTACATCAACACGACGGCGAACCAAAAACAGTGTGTATAATTTATTTAATTGAAAACTAGTTGGGCTAAGCCTGCTTCGTCTGATCTTCCAACCTATGACTAGGCCAGGTTAGCATGCCTTTTATAAGCCAGGACCCAGTTGTATTTTGTTACGTTTCTTCACAGAGAGGGGTTCGTCCGAACCCCTTGAACCCCCTGGATCCGCCACTGAGTAATTACATCTTTATGGTTGCCGAAAATGTTTAGTAAAACATTAGAAATTTATTGGCACTAAATATTGACAATGTTGATGCGATAATGAATTTTACTATAAAAGTGTCATTTCTGGGCCCTTAGAGGCATTATTTCCTCAAATTTTTCCCCTCAGCACCACCATGATTGGATGTGAACTAACGGATTTCAAATTTAATAGTAAAATACATTAAAGACAAAGTTTTAAGTTTTATTTTTTTATGGTAGGCCTACATCACACATATTAATTACATCTCTATAGTTGCCGAAAATCGCTGATAAGACATCATGGAACATTTGTTGGCCCATTATGATTTTGACTATATAATCGTGATGTGATGATGTATCAAGTTTTTACCTCCCCCCAAACAATGGTGGGGCTGAGGTGGATGTACGGACTCACAGCTTGGAAGTTATCAAAGTAAATACATCAAAGACAATGTTTTTAAGTTTCATTTTCCATGGTACATCACGCATATTAATTAGATTTCTATGGTTTCCGAAAATCACTGGTAAAAGATCATGGAAAATTTGTTGGCGCTTTATTTTGACTATGGTGAAGTGATGATTAATCTCCGGCCATATAGAGGTACTATTTCCTAAAATTTGCTCACTTCAGTTTCAAAACACATCTGCGCCTTTGCCAAAACAACGTCAACCCACCCCACCGCCCCCACCCCCACTACCACCAACTGAAATGGAACAAATAAGGTAGCGCTGAAATAATTCATAATAATAGTGTTAATACATTTTAATCTATGCTTAATTACCACCAAGGGCACTGCCCTAGGTCCATCTGGGGCCATACTAAAGACCATGTTGCTAGCAAAACACATTCCCACCCCCATTGAAACCGTCTACGGAAAGAAATGTGCATCCTTAGGCCTTGATAGATTATGGGTGAGCCCAGTGAGGTTCAAAATCATGCAATCATTATAGGCTTTAAGAGAACATCTAACCACTATAGAAAAACGAAGCCCAGACCTCTATTTTTACCAAATATTAATTGTACTTAGCCCAGGTCAAATTGTAGATTGATTGAAACCATAGAGCTATTAAACAACTAGAGTGCTGACAAGATGGCGAAGCAATGCACAGTTATGTATATGTACCATCCAAGATGGCCGTCGTAGTAAAGCGCCACCTATAGGCTTAGTGTACATATTATTACCATAAATAAGCCCTCTGACTGACTATTATTTCATTAATGATAATGAGTAATGGTACGGTAATAACAAATTATTAAACTATCGTAGCCAAAACGAGGCCAAGTGGAGCATCGTCTCAAGACTCATCTCTTTAGTTTATTTTAATTTGCAAATTTCTAGCGCATAGAGACCTATGTATTTTGCGCTTTACAAATCCAAATTATTATTATTATTATTATTATTATTATTATTATTATTATTATTATTATTATTATTATTATTGTTATTATCTTATTCAAAAATAGAGTACCAAGGAATGAAAATTAAAATCGTGTACATTACACCCATACACCGCAAAGCTCGAGTTTCAAACATACGGGTAACTAGCTGTACTCATAGAGATATAATAAGAATACTAGAGCGCTAACAGCAATGTATTCGATGTTCGAAATACGCAGAGCTGTGTGTGTGTACCATCCAAGATGGCTGCCATAGATTCAGCCAATCAAATTTCGTCTGAGCACTATCATTTTCAATGGCGCCCCCAATTTACACAGAAAGTTCAGTACAGCTAGTTACCCGTATTTTGAAACTCGAGCGTTGCGGTGTATGGGTTTAATGTACACGATTTAATTCTTTTAAATATTTGAATAAGATGCTCTCCTTGGCCTCTTTTTTGGCTACGATAGTTTAATAATTTGTCATTATCAATACTAATTATCATTAATGAAATAATATTCAGTCAGAGGGCTTATTTATGGTAATAATATGTATACTAAGCCTGAAGGTGGCGCTTTCCTACGGTAGCCATCTTGGATGGTACACATACACAACTCTGCATGCCCCGCCATCTTGTCAGCACTCTAGTTGTTTAATAGCTCTATGGCTGTACTGAGCTTTCTGTGTAAATTGAGGGCGCAATTGCAAATAATGGTGCTTAGGCGAAATTTGATTGGCTAAATCTATGGCAGCCATCTTGGATGGTACACACACACAGCTCTGCGTATTTCGAACATCGAATGCACTGTAGTTAGCGCTCTAGTATTCTTATTATATCTCTATGATTGAAACACTTTTTTTACCGTCTGTCTTATTCTGACACTATTACTGACCAGTGAGGTCAGTGAGGAACATACAGAGCATACCAGGATATAGTTAAATCTCAACAAAACTCTACTTTTTTTTTTACCAAAAAATCAGCTTTTTAACCAAACAAATTACCAAAAATGAGATTTTTTTACGTAAGATTCTGATATGTTATTGAAGGTAATATTGGTTAAAATGTATGTTTTACATAGAGAGAACTGCAATTATAGTTTTAAATGTAGACAAATCTAATTTTTTTTACCAATGCCTTTAAGTAGGATTCTGATATATTATCGACCAGCGAGTTATAACACTGTATTGGTTAAAATGTATTTTTACATACCGAGCATGTATGTATAAATGTCAACAAACCTATCTTGTACCAAAAAATCGTCGTTTAATTTTAAAAATATGCAAATTGGTATTCTTTTAAACTGTTAATGTTATGTCAGATTTTGATATATTATTGATCAGTGAGGTATGATATCGGTTAAAATATATTTTTACATGCAGAACATATTAGTTATAATTTAAATGTCAACAGATCTATATTTTTTTACAAAAAATATAGATTATTATTGTTATTAATTATATTTTTAGCCTAAAACTGGCCAAATTTTTTTATTTCAAACCCTTATGTCAGGTTCTGACATGTTATCAACCAGTGGGGTATCATATTGATTAGAATATATTTTGACATGCAAAGCATATCAGTTATAGTTTAAATGTCTGAAAAATCTATATCTTTCACTTAAAACAATATTTTTTTTTTTTTATTTTTATTTTTTTGGGGGTTTTTTTGGGGGGGGGGGGGTTTCAGAGATTCTTGAAAAGCATGTTGATAAAACTATTTCATTCTTATTTGCTTATTGTAAGAAAAGAATAACCATATTGTTCTAAACCTGTTTGTACAAGTCCTCTAACAGTCAAACATACTAAAATATTAAAAACCATAATTTTCCCCAAAAATTCTATTTTTTTTATGTTTTTTTTTTGCTCCAGAGATTTAAAAAAATTGTATGCCCACACTAATATCTGTACCAAATTTGGCATTTTTGTCATTCAGGTAATCCAAATATCTAGAATAATGCAAAGCGACTTTTTCGTTCAAAAAACATTTTATTTTCTTTATAATTTTTCATCTTTATTTGCTTATATATATTTTGTTAGGCCAATCAGGAAGATTATTTTTTACATCTGCCTGGCCTAACAGTGGCGGCGCCAGAGGGGGCAGGGGGCTTAAGCCCCCCCCCCCCTTCATTTCCTCGTGTATATACATAACCGGACCACTTTTCTCGTTGCGGATTGAAATTACCTCGCTCCGTGCACCGACAACTGTTTGGATAATGCGCCTACTTAGACAATTAATACTATCGTCTCTTAAACATAACATTCTATTTCGTGCAGATCATATCCCGGGGAAACAAAATGTCATTGCTGACCTCCTGTCTCGCTCACAATTTCAGGCAGCAAGACGTCTGGCACCAAACCTCAACGTGCAACAAGTGCTAGTTCCAGAAGAACTCTTACATATTTAACGGCTTCAGCGAGGTTTGTCATTGCAGCCTCCCTCTCTCTAAAATCACAGAAAATATATAAACGCCCCTGGGAAATCTTTACTGCTTGCCGGGGAATCAACAACACCCCTTCCAGCGATGTTGAACTATGCAATTTCATTGGTCACGTCTTCAGATCTAATTATGCTGCACGTTATATTTCAACACAAGTCTCAGCTATTGGTTACATTCACCGCGCCCAAGGTTGGAAAGATCCCACAAAATCATTTCTAGTGGCACGTGCGATAAAAGGTGTTCATGCGCTCACTGGCTCCTGTGATACGAGACTCCCTATCACCAAAGAGATGTTATACAACATACTATGCGCGGTGGGGCACATTGAACCAAACCTTTCAGCGCAGCTTTTACTTAAAGCAATCTTTTCAACCGCCTGTCATGCTTTCCTTCGCGTAGGGGAGCTTTGCTGCCAACAGAAACCTTGCCCGCACAGTTATTCAAAGGGGCGATATTGTATTCTCTGAAGTCGGGGTACGTATCACTATCAAATATTCTAAGACATCGAGGGGGAAGCCTCCAATATCTCTGCTTATCAGTAGGTCGGCGGGTCACACTTGCCTAGTGCGGACTCTTGAAGTATACCTCGCCTATTTTAAGCATGTATCGGGGCCCCTCTTCCAATTAGAGGACCAGGGGCGGATCCAGAAGTTTTTTTTGGGGGGGGGGCTATAGGTATATGTGTAAAGTGCCTCCAAGTGCCTGCGGAGGCTAGGTTTGGGAGGAGGT